CAATGTTCATAATAAACAATACGAGTGCGTGTGCGAGTGAGAGATAGAGAGAGAGAGAGGAAGAGAGAGAGAGAGAGGGAGAGGCAGACAGTTTGCGGGAGCATCTTTCAAGTGCCATCAAATGTCAACCAACTATAAAAATGTGCATATATTTTGGAGCATATGGGATTTGGCAATCGTAAATCGGCAACTACTGTGAAATGAATTGAATATAACTAAAAAATTGAAAAAAATGCACAAATCAGTAGAGATGAACATGTTCATATTCAGTGACATGAGCACGATTTTAAAACTGAGTTTCTTTTTTTAGAAGGGAGCGAGTTAAAAGTTGATCTTCAACCCGAACAAATTGCAATCCGAAACAGAAACTGAAATGAATCGAAACCGAAATTCAACATTTTTTCAATATATTTTTAAGAATCAGTAACTGATCCTAGTAAAATAATTTGTGAAACCTTTACAGCAGCTTACTAGCACCGGAACCGGAGCTTAAATTAGCTGTCCCCAGAATAACCCAATCAAGAATTTATTTTTTATTATTTTTATTTATCAATTTCCGCTCTCAAAATTATTATTTTTAGTTTCTTCTTTAATTATAATATAATAAATTATTATAATACAAACAAAATACATGCAATCAAACAAAATAATTGTGTTTTAAATGTTTTCGCTCAACAATCGCACACATGACAAATTCCAACAAGGAAATGCTTCTGTATTTGATATGTATACAATTATTATGCATATTTATCACTCGAGTTCAACTTTACATAGAACAACTGATTGCTGTAAAAGCGATAATTTGAAAATTGCAAACTAAAAGTTTGCTCTGCATAAAGCATAAATTTGCTTAACTGCATCTATATATTTATTGGTCTAAATAAGAATTGTGAAGTATAACCCTTAAAAGTCACAAGGTCATATTTATTTAAAAACTATTTATTTCTATTTTTTGCACATGTTGACCTATATGCAACTAAAAAGTTGTAGCTCATAGAAATGGCCAATTTCTGGGACTTCACGGAATATGATTGAATATGAAACAGGAAAAGAACAAAGAAAGTGAAACAAATTCCAGCTTTTGTTCATTATAATATTGTGATAATATGTTAGATGACTTTGCTGTCAGAGACAAAGTTTTCCTTTGGCCACAATACTGTGTAAGTATAAGTATTTAAGCCGACTTGGGCGCATGCAGCTTAACCAACCCACGGACACACTCACGTAATTCCCGCCGTAAGCTTTCCCCTGTGCGGCTATATAACTAAAAATCGACATTAGCGGTATTAAAACTTGTGGCAATTTCCTACACATTTTTCCTTTTCTTTTCATTTCGTTTCGTTTCGTTTTGTTTCGTTTCGTATTTTTTTTTCACTTTCCTCTGTTTCAGATCTAGGATATGCCATGACAGCGTGCAAAACTTTGCGCTTTCGCTTTATTAAGCGCCAAAGAATAAAAGTTTCAGTTTTGCGCCAGCGTTATAATTAATACGCAAATCCCCATGCAACAGAAAAAAAAAACTCAGCTGTAGACCCTCCGCTCCGCCACCCTCCTCCTCCTCCTCCTCTGTTCGGCACTTACAGAGCTAAAAGGGCAGTGAAATTTGAGCTGTTAATATTTCAATGAATATAAAGATATCGCATATTGCTGTACAAATGGATAAATATTATCTTTGCATTATGCAGATTAATGCAATCAGCAGAGTGTGGGGTGGTTGGGTGGCTTGTCGCTGTTATCAGCGCAGCCACAAATCACAAGCTGATTTTAATGCAATTCAATTAATTCCATTCGAAATCTAATTGGAGATATCGCTGTTGAGTGTGAAAACAAAACAAGACCAAAAACCAAAGTAAAGCAAACAATAAAAATCCAATTCAAAGGCAAAAACAAAAGGCAGGCGACGACAAATCTGGGCCAAGACAAAGTCCGCAAAGGAGTGAGAGAGATGGCAACAATGAGAGTGGAAGGTAGAGAGAGAGAGCGATAGAGTGGAAGAGTGGGAGAGTGAAGAGCGGGTGTTGCTTGGTTGTGTGTGTGACGTCATTACGTAATCAAATCAAATAACGATTTGTACATTGTCCAATTTGTTGCTGTTGTTGTTGTTGTTGTTGTTGTTGCTGTTGTTGCTGTTGTTGTCGTCGCGGCTCTGACAACAACAAAAAAGAAATGCAAATTTATTTGATTTTTATTATTTGTGAAGCGTTTGTTTCTCGCTTTCAGCGTACTGTTATCTTTTATTTTATTTGCTTTTGCTTTTGTTTTCTGTTTTTGTTGTTGTTGTTGTTTTCGGTGCTTTATTACGTGACAACTTTAAATTAGTCGTTTGGTTTTGTCTTGCGTTTTATTGCCACGCCCACCGCCACCGCCCCACGCTGTTGAGAGAGAAATGACACAAAAAATGAATAAAAAAATACATTTTGCAGTCTGTCTCCAATTTTTGCCGGTCTTAGCCAGTTCAAGTGGAGTTAAGAACAGGCCAAGAGGTCATCAGGACCGATAAATTTATGGGCATTTCTTAAGAAGCATATCAAAATATAAATTGCATACCAACATTTATGCTCGAAAGTGATGAACTTACAGATACCCCCTTACGAAAGCATAAATAATTTACGTGTTCTTAACGTTTGTGACATTCTCTTCAATTTCATGACTTTTTTTTAATGTGTACATCAAAAATTGAGCTCGTTTGCCTCGAGAGCAATTGGAATTGATATCTCTCGAAAATGTGCTTAATTAGATGCATGGTCTTAATTGGAATTGTGCACTCGAAATGATTTATGCATTGATAAATTCAAAATTAAACTTTGTTCGCTCGCCGCCTATCACAAAACGATTGCAATTTCAATATAATCATGATTGCATGTGGCTTCTGGTTTAGTGCTAATTAAGTTGAGTCTTCTCATCGCAATTAAGGCTTCTGCTTGGCCTGTACAAACAGTTCAAACCCATCCAGATGTTGGTATATGTACATACATACATACATACATACATACATATATCTAACATCTGCGAATCAAATGAAATGACTGACCCCAAGGCAGCAATGTTAATGTCCAAGTGGCCCAAATGTTGCTCTTTGGCGTCTGTCACATAAGCAGCACCACCAGCAAACTAATGGCAACAACAACGACAACAACGACAACAACAAACAATGCAACAACAAGCTGCTTTCGATAACAAACAGACAACTGTTAGTTGTGGCAGCACAGCACCTCTGAAACGTTTACGAAATGCAGCGTGCCCGGCCTCCGGACGTCGAAATCAATTTTGCGAAATTTGTTTATTTATAACATTAAGACGTAAACCCGTAAACCTGACCAACGACAACAGCAACAAAAAGCACTGCAGCCAATTTGCATAAGTCGACACGTGAATACACTTTCACAAAGTAAATTCGAATGGTGCCTAAAATCTTCCATGATTTCTAATTTATTTCTACTTTAATTAACATTGTCTAATCATTCAAATACCAGCAATGTTATACAAAATTCATTCTATATATTGTTATTTAGTTCTATCAAAATATAAATATATTAACTTAAACTTGCCTAAGTTGAAATACCCACTTGCCACAGCGATAAATAGTCTACTTAAAATGCCAAACTAAATTTTGTATTTATGAATGAGGCAGGTTTGTCAGACTTTCACAAAGTGGCTTAAAAAACAATAGCACACAGATGTATGTATATATTGGTAATAATAATATTGTATTTTGATTAATATTGCCAATGGCAATCAATTTTCATTAACACTAATCAAAATGCAATCAAAACAATTTAGTCTGTGTGCTTTATTATGTAGAAAATTAAATGTATAATTTGATGCAAAAACCTTAATTGCAATTGCACACTCGAAATGATTTATCCATCCAGTAAAAATACAATACAAAATACAATTAGCTTTAGCAACTTTAAGTCGTATTATAACTTCGGAAGTTATTCAAACTTTAGACTGTAAAGTTAAAAAAATAATTTTAAACATGTTTTGCAGCCTTGCACAGAGTAAATGTGAATTTGGCTTAAATAATATTGTTTAATTATGCGTTAAGTACAGATAATTTTAATAAAAATTAATTTAAAAAATAATTTTGTTTAAGTACAATATTAAAAATGTATAATTGCAATAACTGCAACGACTTCGAAATGATTTATAGATTAAACTGCTTTCAATCTAAATTCTTTTGCTTCATTTTTAAAGTAATCAAACTATAAATTAATAATAAATTGTAATTTATGAATAAATATTCAAAAATGTAATTCAGTTTTGTAGTGAAATTATCGGACTGAAGAATAAAATTATTAATCGCTTACCAAATTGGCAAAAGTCATCTTCATAATTACCACATTCAAATTAATTCCCATTTTAAGGCATTGAGTTTTTCTTCTTCTGAGACAATCTAAAATGAAACAACATTAATCGGAGATGGCAAACAATGTGGGAATAGAGTGATACCCATTGGGAGTGTATTGGAAAAGTGGGTCCGGTCACTTGCCCATCACTTTTTCCATTGCGGCATTAAATTACAAAGAGAGTCAGTCGACGATCGCCGATCGTTGGAGCTGCAATTTCAGATAGATTTTGGTTATGTTTCGCCGACATCGAAGACATCGAAGACATCGATACTGTTACCAGCCATCGTTGGCTGGGTGCGTTGTCCCACCTCCACCTGCGGCGCCGGATGGCCAACATTATTTAGTTTTTATTTTCGCACATTTTGCATAAATTAAATACAAGTCCAACGTTGTCTCCGGCTTGTCTTCGATAGCCGCCAGCCGCCAGCCAGTTTAGTTTAGTTAACGTCTTTGTGCGCCGCGGTTCGGTTCGGTTCCCCTTTTATTTCGGTTTAGATTCCATACGCACCTCTTCGGCATGGCGTAAATCACTCTAATAAACTCTAACAAAAAAAAAAACGCCAACAAAAAAAACAAAAAAAACGAAGGCTAACACAAAGCAGAGGCAAATATTTGTAGCAAAGTTGAATCAAAGTTTTTTATAATGTGCAAACGTTTGCTTTGGCTGCTGCCGCTTTGGTGGATGGCTTTCTGGCCAAACAGTGAAAGTGCCAAGCAGCCGCAGCGTGTCCATTATCCAGCTGGAGTGGATTTCTTTGAACACGAATTCACCAGCGTTGCGGCAGGTGCGTTTAATTCAAACACTTTTCTTGCTTCTGTTGCATTTCACAAGTTCACAACAACAATAACAACAACAACAACAACAACTGACTTGTCGACAATCAGCGGCTTTTTTTGTAAACAAACATTTCGCAGTGCGTTCAAAAAATGAATAATAATATTTGCAGACTGATTTTGGACGAAATTTATGTATTTTTCGACTCTTGCAATGATCTTGGCAAACATTTATATTTTTTGTGTTGTACAAAGAAGCCTAGCTTTAAATTGTTGCACTCTTAACGGAAGATGCAACATTGCAAATAAATAAATAATATTGGGAATTCTTTTGACTTTTGACTAGCACTGAATTATTATTTTTCTGTTTTCAATTTTATTGATGTGCAAAAAACAACTGTCAAAAATTCCAGAAGTAATAATATTGCCAGTGTGACCAAAATATGACACAAATTCCAATAAAAAGTCCTTTTGAGTATTTTTAATCGTGATTTTGAAACCGACTTAAGAAATTTAAAATAAGTTAAAAAGAATTGCAATAAAAAGTGAACTTTTTTCACTCACTGTACATTCCTTTCTCGAATTCTCACTTATCTCTCCCTTATGCTCTCTCCCCATCTCACAGATGAGTTGGATCCCTTTGGCCCTGATATCGGGGACGATGACCTGGGCATCGATGATCCGGAGACTATGCCGCGTTTATTCCAAGGCGACATTGCCATCGATCCCTACACGTATATAACATTGAGACTGGGCGTGAATCCGATGCGACATCCAAAGCGACTGTGGCCTAACGGAACGATTCCGTTTGAGATCAGTCCACGATATGAGGACAAGGAGTGGAAGCTGATTGTGCAAGCCTTGAAAACATTCAATGCGCTGACCTGTGTCAAGTTTGTCCCCTACGATGGGGAGGCGGATGATTACCTGCTGATCGAGCCACCGGAGGATGGACCCCTGGGCTGCTGGTCATATGTTGGGAAGCGGGGCGGGGAGCAGGTGGTGGCCCTGCAGCGTCCGGATGAGACGAGTGCCCATTGCTTCAGCAGCGAAGGCCGGATTATGCATGAGCTGATGCACGCCATTGGCATTTATCATGAACAGTCTCGAGCGGATCGGGATAACTTCGTTAAAATACACTGGGAGAATATTGTGCCGCGTTTTCGAAAGAATTTCAAGCTGATTTCGCGCAAGAAGGGGAAATACTCATTTGACTACGACTACAACTCGGTGATGCACTACGGGGAGTACTATTTCAGCAAGAAGAAGGGTGTGATGGCCACGATGACACCGTTGCAGCCGGGAGTTAGGATCGGACAGAGGAAGACGCTCAGTAAAATTGATTGCCTCAAGATCAATGATTTGTATGGGTGTCTGAAGGGGCGGCGTGGTAAAATGTACAGGAGCTTTTGTCACTTGCTAGGTTTGTAGGTGTTCAAGTAATTATTCTCCATATGAATCACATTGATTTACTAATTTAATAAATTATTTGACAAAATGAATTGCGTGCCTTATTTGAATTCAAAATTGTTTGGCGGTTTATTTGGGGTTGCCACCTCTACAAAATGTAGTAAGCCACTTCCCATTTGCTCAAAGGTTAGTTCAGCTGCAAAAACAGAAGGTGGCGCTTCAGTCTAAAGGAAATTATAAATATATCGGTAAAATTTTAAATTGATGATTTAAAATGAATAATGAACCCGATAAAAGTAGAGATAAAATACAAATCTTAACAATTTAAATATATTTGCACACATTTTTTTTATTTTAACCAAATAATAATAGCCTAAGGAGCACAACTTGCTGCTAACGTGTCTATATATGCGCCGATTAAGCGTATAATATATCGATATCAGTAAAGACAACCCTTGTGCACAATCGAAATGGTCAAAAAATGCTTGTTGCTATACTATCGTGAGCAAGAATTCATCGTCTTTCATTTCCATTTTGGACGAGGTTAGGTAAGAACACGCGCGGATTGACTTGCACGAGATTTGCGCATAATAAGTGAAAAATTTTGTAGGATTATACAAAATAAATTATTACTTTAGCATATTATGTTAAAATTCGTGCAATATGTGTCGCGAAAATCGTGCGAAGCCGCCGCCCTGCCCACGTGCTGCAGCTGGGGCAATTTATTGATTTCACCAGCAGCAAACAACAGCGTGCAAAAATGTATAACGCAACGTCGCCATTTTCTTTTTTGCTCAACCAACAGAAGAACCAGCAGCAGTTCCGCTTTGCTCTGCAGTGAACAACCACAACAGTTCCATCACAAAGGGAGCCGGTGTAGCCAGCAGGAGTCATCAGTTCGACTATTATTTTACAGTTGCTCCTACACAGCACAAACACAGCGTGCAGTTCACTTGTCGTCAACTCGATTTGATTCATCCAGATCAGTCTACGACTCGGCAACAGCAGCACTCCCAGCGGCAGACAGGCAAACTACAACTACTGTGTCCAACAACAACAAACGCACGAGGAAATCACTTTTTATTGACCCCGACGAGCAATCAGAGGAAATCAAAATTGAAGGAATAATGTGAGTACAAAGTAAATCTGAAAGAAAAAAATGCCCTTATATGTGCGTGCGTGTATGTGTGTGTGGTTATATACGATACGTGTGTGTAGTTGTTGGTTTTTTTCCGTCGCCATTTTCTTGGCCCACGCTTTGCGCTCAGCGTTCGTAAATTGTGTTTGTATTCGTTGAAACCCAACGATGAGTAATTAATGGAGAGTTTTGCTGCTGCTTCAAACGCCAAGGGGAAAGCAAACAGCAGAAAACCAACCAAAACTTCAGTTCAAATTATTTGTTTTATTTTTTTGTTATTATTTTGTTAACCCGAAAGTACAATAAATAAAGAGGGGGTGCTGTAAACGACAGTGTACGTCATAAAAGGAATTGGCTTGATTTGTGAAACGTGTCTTTACTTCGTTTGCTTTTTTATAGCATTTTAATTTGTCTCTGTATGCCCTAAACACGAACACGCACACACAGCGTGCTTCTGTATCTGTGTGTGTGGCGGCAATTTTCGCGTGTTCGTTGAACGTATAACAGTTGAATAGTACATAGTACAGTTTGCGTGCCCATGATTTTTTTTTATCGTTTGCTGTCATAGCTGATACCAAGCAATATGTCTGCATCTCTCTCTGCCTGCCTTTAGTTGTTAGTTTAAAATGTCAAATGACGCCAATTGATTATGAGAGCCGACCCTCCGCCTCTGTCCGCTGACTGCTGTCATGTTCGTGTGAGCGCACGATTTGCCTTTTTGCATGTCAAAGCGCGACAGGTAGAGAAACACACACACACACATATATGTATATATATATACAATGGAAGAGAGATGTGGAGTGAGTGAAAATGAGAGAGGCGGAGAGTAGGGAGAGTAGTGAACCGTAGCCAAAGACAAGACAAGACATTTGCTGTCTAATAAACGTTCAGCGTTTCGTTCTGTCAGCTGGCCCAAGTTAGCGTGTCTGTTGCTGCCTACAAACAAAGGGCGGAACAGTCCAAATTGACAGGCATTTTCTGTTTGGCATGAGGTGAAACAGAGAGAGAGAGATGGGTAGTTTATGGGACTGCAGCACATGCACATTACATACTGTTATACACATAGTTGTAGGTATGTATTTTTGTGTGTGTATAATTGATTAATGTCAGAACTGTAACATTTGTGTTTTGGCTGCCGCTGCCAGGTGCCGAGTTGTTTAGTTGAGCAATTGAAGGGGCGGTGCAATTCGGCGGGGGCGGGGCACTGTTTGTCCCTTTGGATATGCTCGAATTGCATGTTGCTGTCAATCAAATTTGCTTTACTGTTTGCATTATTCGAAATTTATTTAATTTCCCTAACACGCAATTAGTTTTATTTAAGTTTATTGCGGTTGTATTGCTGTCTCTCTCTCCCTCCTTTGTGTGCGGTGTGTGCTCTCTGTCAAATTTGTCAGATGCTTAGCAGCGTTGCCAGTCAGTCACAAAACTGACGCGCAGCAACCAACAACACAGCACAAGCATGCGATCAAAGTGAGAGCCCCAAACAGCAATGATAACATTTTCGGCAGCTGTGAAGATGTACTAAAATTGAAGAATTGAAGAAATATTTGAAATATTGTGCTGAAATAACATTTTGGGTATCTGTGCGAATTTACTAAAATTTGAGGAATTAAAAAATTATTTATAAATACTATAATTAATTCAGTTAATAGTGACGCAATAGTTAAGATTTAAATGCTTTCAATTAGGCTCAATTTCAAAATACCACAATTTTTCAACATAAACTATTATTTATGTATTTGATTACATTTTTAATAATACTCTCAAATAAATTGTAAAATGTTATGAGAAAAAGGCATCAATACTAAAATCTGGTGTTCTTACAACAAAAATAGAATTAATTAGAAATTTTCGTAATTTTACAAGTCTAAACTAATGACATCGAAAATGTCGAGTATTAACTTTAAATAAATTCGTGGAAAACGCTAATATATTTTTTGTATTACTTTTTCAGGGCACCACACGACCGTGATTTTGGATCCGGACCACGAGGCGGCCGCGACCGCGATGATGATCGACGTGGCGGCGGTGGCGGAGGACGTTTCGGTGGCGGCGGCGGCGGTGGTGGTGACTATCACGGCGTGCGCAACGGTCGCATCGAGAAGCGTCGCGATGATCGCGGCGGAGGCGGTCGCTTTGGCGGCGGTGGGGGTGGCGGCGGCGGCGGTGGCTTCGGCGGTGATCGTCGCGGTGGCGGCAGCCAGGATCTACCCATGCGCCCTGTGGACTTCTCCAATCTGACGCCGTTCAAGAAGAACTTCTACCAGGAGCATCCAACAGTAGCGAATCGTTCGCCCTACGAGGTGCAGCGATATCGTGACGAGCAAGAGATCACCGTGCGCGGTCAGGCGGCCAATCCCATACAGGACTTCTCAGAGGCGTATCTGCCCGACTATGTTGTGAAGGAGATTCGCAGACAGGGCTACAAGTCGCCGACACCGATTCAGGCGCAAGGCTGGCCCATTGCAATGAGCGGCGCTAATTTTGTGGGCATTGCCAAGACCGGCTCGGGCAAGACGCTCGGCTACATTCTGCCCGCCATTGTGCACATTAACAATCAGCAGCCGCTGCAGCGCGGCGAGGGTCCCATCGCATTGGTGCTGGCGCCCACACGTGAGCTGGCCCAGCAGATCCAGCAGGTGGCCACCGAGTTCGGTTCGTCGTCGTATGTGCGCAACACGTGCGTCTTTGGCGGCGCCCCGAAGGGCGGCCAAATGCGAGATCTGCAGCGTGGCTGCGAGATTGTCATTGCCACACCCGGTCGTCTCATTGATTTCCTCTCGGCCGGCTCGACGAACCTGAAGCGTTGCACCTACCTGGTGCTGGACGAGGCCGATCGCATGTTGGACATGGGCTTCGAGCCACAGATACGCAAGATCGTCTCACAGATTCGTCCCGATCGCCAGACACTCATGTGGAGCGCCACCTGGCCCAAGGAGGTTAAACAGCTCGCCGAGGATTTCCTCGGCAACTACATTCAGATCAACATCGGTTCGCTGGAGCTGTCGGCCAATCACAACATCCGCCAAGTGGTTGATGTCTGCGATGAGTTCAGCAAGGAGGACAAGTAAGCATTTTGCAATGGAGTAAAATTCACTTAGTAAAGCCCATCACGTATTTCTTTGTTTGCAGGTTAAAGAGTCTATTATCTGATATCTATGACACCAGCGAGAATCCCGGCAAGATCATCATCTTCGTGGAGACAAAGCGTCGCGTTGACAATCTGGTTCGTTTCATTCGCAGCTTTGGGGTGCGTTGCGGCGCCATTCACGGCGACAAGTCGCAGTCGGAGCGTGACTTTGTTCTGCGCGAGTTCCGCTCGGGCAAGTCCAACATTCTGGTTGCCACCGATGTGGCAGCCCGCGGCTTGGGTAAGTTTCTCTTGCACTCGAATATAAATTACATAGATTTCGACGTTTCGACACTTGATATAGACTACAGACACACACACACACACACAAAGAGACACCCGAAAACATATCCAACATCCTTCCATGTGTGGGCATTTCTAGAGCAACCGATTTAACTTGATTACAGCTTGATCAGCTACTTTGTATAGCGAAGACTGAGATTTATCAATCTTATATCTAAACAATATTAATTCATCATTATATCGAAATAATAGCTTGTAAACTATTTACTACAGCTATGGATAGATAGATAGCGCAATATATATAAAAATGATTAATATTTATGTTTCTCAAAAATTTTGACAGTTTCCATAGTTTTTATGCATGCTTTAACAGTTTTCCATTAAAGATTCTGATATCTGCTAATTTTGCTATAATGCTCAGTTGTATTCAAATTGGTTTCTTGTTGATTTGAGGTAAATCTGATATATTTCATCTTAAATTGGACAATCATTGCACTGTTACTAAATATAACCTTATTCGCATCTTCAAATTTGTCTGCTATAATTTGTCTATTACTTATCAAAAATTAAGTTTAAAATAGAAGTATAATTAATATTTGATATATGCTATTTATTTGCCCATAGCTGTATAAATAGTCTTATTATATGCCGCTCTCTTGTTTTCTTATGCAAGCATTTATAATTTTTAGTAAGCAAAATTCGACTTTATTGTCCCGTTTCTCCTCTGCGTGAAGGAAATGCCCACAACACACACACATCTGCTAAACACGCATGTTTGCCACACACAGAACATACAGAGTTACTCGCATATAGATACACACCACCACTACTACTACTTGTTAATGCCAATCCCCAGACAAAAACACACCCGCCCCGCAATCAAGTACACCCCCCTCATCCACATACCAACAAATGCATTTAGATAGTAATACAAGAACAAATTATTTGCTTGCGCGAGTGCGCGATATCAAATCAGTTTTTAAAACAGTTTGTATAGTCGTAAGCCAAACCAAAAAACAAAAAAAAACCACAACGTAAACTTTAATAATCAACATACATTTTTATTCCTTACCCCCGACCCGACCCGCCCACCACCCCCCCTGCACACCACCCCTTCCCCGGCCCTTGCCCCACCGTTAACGCAATGAAAAAACAATAAAAATGTGCGCCTTTTTGTTGCTGCTGTGCTGCACACACATTTTGGCTGTTCTGTGTGCGTGTCTCTCTCTGCCTCTCTCTCTCTCTCTCTTTGTCTCTCTCTTCCTTCTTTCTCGTTTACAGAGGCCGTTTATTGTAGTATGATGGGGAGGATAAATGACAAGCGACAAGTCCCAATGCCAAAGCCTGTTGTTGCACTCGTAACTTGAGCGACTACTTTTTGCTCGGGAAACATTGAGTTATTATGATATTCAGTAATGTGAAATGAATGAATATGAATATGAATATGAGTTCAGCTGATCGACGCGCGATCAACGTAACCGTTAATATTCGCAAAATACGAGACGAGACGTTGACGAGACGCATATCCCCAACATCATGCATCATACGTGGCCTCTGTCTGTGGCAGTCTGTCCTGAGAAAGAGCGTGTTCCAACAATTGCAAACCGAACGAACACACTAAAACAAAAACAAAACCATCAACCAAAATCAACCTACCAATAAATCAATCAAATCAAACCAAAGTCAAGTCAAATCAACAACAAACAAAACAAGCACAAGTCGGCTAACAAAATCAAAAAATAAAAAAAATCCAGTTGAAGGCGGCGCTGAAAAACAGGCATGATGAGAATTAAAAAACAAAAAAAAAACATCTTGAGGCTGCTGAACGTCGTCGTCGGCCGGCCGGTTGCTAAGCACACACCACAAACATCAGTCAGGCAGCGACAGCATCAACACAACACACACAGCTGAAGGATGCACCAAGCGCACACACATCCGAACCCCCCCGAACACACGCCAACACACACTTGCACACCACATGCTTATGAAAGAGCACAAATTTGTTGTGTGTGTGTGTTGTGTGTGCGTGTGAGGGACGACAAGAGAGATGCGTTTACCGAGAGAAGACGAAGAAGAAGAAGTGGAGAGCGTTGCTGCTGCTGCACTTTTTGTGTGGGTTTTTGGTGGCTACATTGTCGTCGTCGTCGCCGTCATCCATGGCGTCGCTGCTGCTGCTGCTACTGCTGAGTGCCTAGCTACCAATTGGGCCGCCCGCGCACACTGACTGCCAGCCGCCGCCCCGAGAGAGAGTGAGAGAGCGAGCGCCTCTCTCTATCCCCTCTCCACCCGCCTCCTGCGCCGCCGTCGTCGCCGTCGCCCGTCGTATAGTGGGCGTGGCAACTGACTGATAACCTGGACAGCCGCCGCCGCTTGTGTGTTTAAATAGAAACGTTTTGCTGGTCAACACGAAAATCGCGCCGCCTCCCCTTTTCTTATCTGCTACTAATTTGGTGGAGGAGGAGGAAGCGATTACCAAGTTGGCCCCGCTAAACACGAGTCTCGAATCGAGTCGCGTATCGAGTATCGAGTCAGATGAGTGTGTGAGGTGCACGCGGCTCATTGCAACAAACTCTCGCCACTCGCCTTCGTCATGCGATCACACTTTTGTTTTGAGGGGAGAGTTTGGACCACGAGCCTGCGCGGCGCCACAAAACCTTTGAGATTTGATTGAGAGAAATGAAATTGAATGAAACAATTTTGTAGCACCAAGAAGGTAACGTACATTTTGAAACATTTTCTTTTTTTTCGTAAAAAAAAAAACAAAGCAAAAAAAATATTTAATAAAAAAAAAAATGAAAAATACTACCTACCACCCATAAAAACTTTATTCAAAAGCGAAAAATCAAAAAAGACAAGTGTATTCAAAGTGTAAAACGTCTCGGAAAAACGCTAAAAATTGTTGTTGCAAATGCGAGCACAGAGCAAGGAGAAATATATTTATATATATCTTTATAATATCATTTGGCAATTTCAAAACTGTTCTTGATAATAAATAATAGTAATAATAATAATACCCTAAGCGATATCATTAGGTTTTTAAATGCTAATCAAATACCATTTCTTATTCACATGTGTAGACGTCGATGGCATCAAGTATGTCATTAACTTTGACTATCCACAAAACAGCGAGGACTACATACATCGTATTGGACGCACAGGACGCTCAAATACCAAGGGCACATCCTTTGCCTTCTTCACGAAAAACAATGCCAAGCAGGCCAAATCGCTAGTCGATGTGCTCAAAGAGGCTAATCAAGTAAGTGCTTTGAATTAAATGCAGATAAGGAGAAGTTTGTTTATTAACTTTATATTCCCCCTGTGCTGTAGGAAATCAATCCCGCCCTGGAGAATCTGGCTCGCAATTCGCGTTACGACGGCGGTGGCGGACGATCCCGTTATGGCGGTGGTGGTGGAGGCGGCGGTCGCTTCGGCGGCGGCGGCTTCAAGAAAAACACCCTGAGCAATGGACGCGGCTTTGGCGGCGGTGACGGTGGCGGCGGTTTCGGTAATCGGAATGGCGGCGACGGCGGAAGACACACGCGCTTCGATTAAAGCTAAACAGAACTAACCAACTATACTATCTACATATAGTAGCATCAGTTGATTTGAATAGCAAATGAGAAGCAGCTCTCCTTAGGCGTTAAGATTAATTTAAGTAATAGATACAAATTAAGATTTTCGTACAACTATATATATCAAACTTTCATCTCCAATTTGTGGAAGAGACAACGCGCAGAACCGCAGAACCCGCCAGAAAATGGGGTCTATTATTATATATGTATGCGGATTCTTATAACTCAAAAACCACGAACAAACCAATTCAACATAGCATTTTATGTTTAGCAAACTTGTAAATTATTTGACGCTGCCCTCCTCCTCCAGAGAGCGGCAATTTTTGAAACCCCCTCCCACAATCACTATACACAAGAAAACAACACTATTTATGAAATTGCAAAACAAAAACCAATTTTTTAAAATATGATGTGATAATCTTTTAATTTAATACAATATATCACTTAACTAACTAAAACAATACGTGTCGTGTGCAAGGCAAGAGCAAGGATCATTCCCGTCGTGTACCCCTTTATGATGATGATGATGATGTTAATGACAAGGAGCAAAGGCGTTGTCCGCCCGCCTTTGCTCGAATATAATATATATATGTATGCCTATATATATATATATATAAATTCTTCAATTTACTTATTTTGGAAATGAACTTTTGGATACATTTTATGGCACAACCAACCAACAACAACACACCATCAACAAGAACTAAAAATAAATGTTAAATACTAAAAGATACAAATATGCATTGTGTATTGTAAAAGGAGCGAAGAAATTCCTCCATTCAATTACATTTTTTTGGAAAATAATAAATGTGTGTAAAACCTACTTACAACCAAAACCAACAAGAAAAAGAAAACACAAACGTTGCAAGTTTCAATCTAGAATTTAAAGTTGAAAATTCCACAACTTAAACGTAAAAGTTGCAGGAGCCCCCCGAGAAGAATGGTTGGCCAAGAAAAGGACTATCAATTCTTGCAGGCATCATTAAATGTAACTCTTAGCCGCATTGAAAACTGTCAGTCCAATTTCAGTGGAGCGACGCCCAATGTCAGATAAGGAACAACTTACGTTATGGGTGGGCGGGTAGGTTCTTCGTGGGTATCGTAAGCCTCGGGCTCGAGACTCGAGAATGGTAAGCAGCACGACAAGCAACCGTGTCGTCTGACACCACATTTAGACGCAATGAAGCCAATTTTGTTCTCCAATTCTCTTTTCTGTTTTTAGCCTGTCGCTCAAAAGTGCTTATGACATGTTTCGTATTGAGGCGCTGATTGCTGTGCGATATGCCCCATTGTGAGGCACACAGATGGCTGCCAGTGGAACTGTTGTAGACATAACCTGGGTCAGCGCATGCCGACCAACAGCTAAGGGTTATATGTAACCAGCAGGTATTATCTTACAAATATATATTTAGACTATCAGTTTGATAAATCAGATGCGGAAGTCATCAAATTGGAATTATGTTGAACTATATAAATATATGTACATATGTAGTTCTATAGGAAAGAAGGCGTTGCTTTCGCTTGTTATCCAGAAACTCGCATTTGTTTGAACTTAAATTGTAGAGTCTGATTAGATATGAATAAATTGGACATGGCATATGCACTGTACCAGGATCCAATGCAAAGCCAGCCAATGGTCGTGCCGGACACGGGAATCGGTTTGCGATTGGTGCCCAAACAGTTTAGTTTAACGGATCCGGTCCTGTTGCGTCACGTCCTCTGCATGATGAACTTGGTAAGGAACATTTTTCACGTCTATTTGTGTTGGCGCCAGCTGCGAACTTGCAACTGGACTAAGGAGCCACCACGCAAATTGCAGGACAGCCTCTCGAGGAGCGCCTTCAACACGACCAAGGATGAAGAGATGTATTCGGTGGAGTCGCTGCTACTCTCCTATATATTCGATTCGATATTCTGCTGGATTGAATTGTATTTTGGCGTCTATCCCGCGTTGTGGAGGGCTATCATCCGTTACTATGGCATCGTGGACGATTTGATCTGGCAGAGCATTGCGTATGTCGCATTGTTCTCCAGTTATATGGTCGCCCGTCGCTTGCCGCAGATCTTTTACAGCAAGCTGGTGCTGTCCAAGTGGTATGGCATAAATAGGGAGAAGTCAATGTCACTGGTGGGTCTGCTTTGCTTCTTCTCCCTGCTGCTCGTCATGTTGCAGGTGATCCTGATTCCGCTAACTCCCGTCTTTCTGTACATTGAGAGTCATGGCGGCAGATTTTTTGTGCTCTGGATTTGGGGCTTTCTGTTTGTCGTAACAATTGCTGCTTTTGCGGTCTTCAGTCTTTTTGGCTTACCTTGCATTGGGACAACGACGAAATTGGTTGAGGGTGACTTATACAGTTCCCTTACGGATATACTGGATGTCTTCGGATTTCCGCCTGGCTGTGTCTACATTATACGCACCTTTGATATCGATACGGCGACTGCATATGCCTGGAACTGTTGCTGTCGCCAGCGGGTCTTCATCTTCGAGAACTTGTTGTTCAACCAGGGCAGACCGTTGTCGGAGCTGCTGCCGGAGGAGATTGGCAAGGGGCTGCACAGCCAGGAAGTGGTTGCGTATATTGCACACGAACTCGCCCATTCTCGTCTGAAGCATGTTGTGAAAACCTTCTGCATGTTGCATGCCTCACTCTTGGTATATTTAATGATTTTCGGAACCTGCTATCATGAAACTGTTATCTATGAAGCTGCCGGCTTCTCGGCCAGCTTCTATCCACCGATCGTTGGCTATTGGTTGGTTTACAAGTATGTTATGCCGCTATATCTAACAATTACCAATTGGATCATTTTCTATTTCTTGCGCAAATTTGAGTATTCGGCGGATAAGTACGTCTTTAACTTGGGATATGGAGATGTGCTCAGCACTGCTTTTCTCAAGCTATTCGAAGACGGGCCCGTCTTCCCCGTGGTAGATCCCTTGTACATGATGTGGCATCGCTCCAGGCCAACCTTTTTACAGCGTATCCACCGCCTCAGCAAATTGCGAAAGTCTAAAATGAGCGGATCATAATACATTACCTTACATGGTGTGTGTTAAGTGTTTACCAAGCTAAACAAAATTGTTGTTTATTATGTTTATTTAGTTTGATTAAATCGCCAAGAAGATAAAATATTTTTGTCTCTGATTAGGTTGATGTATTAGCTAAATTGCCTTCTAGCTGGAATAAAAAATGCTGCATAATTTTAGGGGCAGGTGATAGACATGAAAATCAATCGAAAACACAAAATCAAAACAAACAACAATCAAAACAAAACTTTCAACACAGGACTGGACTTGTACTTTGTATTTATAGGAATATATATATACATATATGTATATATGTATTTTTTAAAATCAGGATCACTTAAGTAACCCAACAATTGTTTTATTCTTAAAGATGATAATCTATTTATCATATCCTGTTCTCATCCTGACTGCAAATGCTATCTAAGTTAATAACTCCCCGAACGGCATTAACCAGCTGCGCAACACACACACTTGTAATGCACACTAGCACTGCACACACATATACATTCATGCACTCACACACACACACACACACACTCGTATACACACACTTATAGCTTTCTCACACCATTTATAGCTTTCTCACCGAAACCAAATGCTAGCAAATTACTCTTTGTGAGTAAGCTCACTGCACACATCTAAAGTACCCTCCACCCCACTCCCCTCCCTACCACTGCTCTTCTCTTCATATCCTGGCATATCTTGATAGGGGAAGCCACTTAAGAGGGGAACGAAGCAGGTCACTTGCTTTGCTGCGCGCGCACTCCGATTACAAAAGAGACGCCACCAGCATAAATTCATTAAATTTGCTTAATTTCACCATACACACACAAATACACACACTCACACATACACTCGAGTGGTACACAAACACATCTGACAATTGCCTGACATTGTGTCGGAGTCAAGGAAATGTGAGTAGGATTTGCTTTCGGGAAGCCAAGACAACCAGTTGAAATTCATTGATTGTATTTACAACACCCGCGACGGTTGTAGGTAGTTAGCCCAAGCCACGATTGCGGCTCAACACACACAAACACACACACACACACACTCAGGCAAAAATATATATCTAGAAAATTGCCTTTTGCAATTTCTTATACTTTTTACGATTAAAAAATAAAATATAAATTCTTCAAAAATATTATCCAAAACTTTCAGAAAGTTATGTCGAAACACTATTTAAATTTTGAAAAATTGTTCTACATTCTTATATATTTTTTTTGAGTGGAGTTAGACACACCCATACACACACGCACACACACATAAACACACACGGCGCTTTGGTAATTTGACGCGTTATCACTTGTGTTGAGTTTGTTATCATTAAGCGGGCGCTGGCTGCTCTTTAGCCAAATCAGAGAAACTCGTCCCGAGCATTGCGCTCAAGTTAATAAAATCCACGCCCCTTCCACAGAGTCCATTGCCCGCATACACACACACACACACACACACACACTAACACAGACATCAAGCAAGCTTTAATAGCAGCCGGCGTTTAACTACTTTGGAAAGGAGCTGGTGGGGCTGGTAGGGTCTGTATCTGGTTTGGGAGGCGCTTGTTTTTGACAACTTGGGCATAATAAGACATTAACTTCATGCACATCAAATACTTTATTTATGGGCGTCTAGAGTGCGTGTATGCTTAAGCGTGTGTGTGAGTTGCTCTGTGTGTGTGTTTGTTGTTGCTCTGCACACTTCAAAAGGCTGGCGTTGCGTTTGCAACGCCCATTTGCCCGGCGCCCAGCTAACTGTGAGCATCTTAGATTTCTCCAGCGTGCTCATAATTTCTTGCCATGCTTTCTCCTATACAGCCCCTGCCCAGAGCCAACTCGCACCCCTCCTCCTCCTCCTCCTCCAATAGCCCCGTTCCCATGCTTGCTTGCTTTTTAATTTCGTTTTGCCTTTTATTTTATTTCTACCTCGCTTGCTCTCTCTTTCACACACCCTCTCTGTCTCTCACTCTCTCTCTCTCTCTCTCTCTCTCTCTCTCTCTTTCTGTCTCTGTCTCAGTCTCTCTGGGCGTAAATCTTTTCTTTTATATTTCGTGTGCTCGTCTTGTTTATTTACCATCGCCCGCCGCCTGTTCGGGCCGTTTGGCAAATTAAGTGCAATTGCTTGAATTTAATTTCATGCAAATAAAAGTTTTGATTAGACGCATCCCACCACGTGCCACCCCACCATTCTCTCCCCGCCCCTCCCCCTGCCTCTTTGGTGGCATGCCTGCCGAGTTGCCCTTGGCTTCCTTTCAAGCGCACACATACCCCGACACACATGTGGCAGTCACGTGGCGCTTTGTTGTAATTAAGTCCGTGCCCATAAATGTGCTCCGTCACTCAGTCAGTTAGTTAGTCAGTCAGCCACTCAGTCAGCCAATCAGTTAGTTGGTCTTCTTCGCGCACTGAGTTTAACGCGGCGTATGCGAAATATTCGCCAGATGTCTTTTGGATTTGTGGCGCATAAATCATGTCATTTCGCTTAATTTATTGTCGATCCCTTAAGCATATTGTTCAGCAAGTATTCTTAAATTGATTTGACTTTTAAATCTATCGCTCTCATATTAATTAACAAATTCCCTTTTTGTGTTGGCCATATAAAAATCTATTTACCAATTTCTGAACTTATTTTATTTGGGAATTTCTCAATGGATTTTCTGGCTTAACTTCACCTTGCAGCTATGGGTAAGCTACATAATTAAATTAAATGCAAATCATTACAAACTTCATAATTGTTATTTATGGGTTTTCTCAAAAATATATTTCAAATTCAAAAGCAAACAAATTTGTTGTTCTTATTTTGATTTGGTAAATCAAAGCATCGGTACTACAAGCCGTAATTATGGATTTGAACAGTATGTTGGTAAGAGCATAAGTTTGTTTTCATAATATATATAAAACATAATATAATAATAATGAATACCGACAAGGGCCTTCGTTTGTCGCCTCACTCACCACTGCTCTCAAGCCTTGCAACATTCTGTGTCATATTTTGGATGCCACTCAGCACGAAACATAATTCAATATAGCGTCAGGCAAGAAGACGCCTGAGACTTTGCTTTCAACCCGCTGTCTCCCCTTTGCATAATGATGTCACAGCATATTACATATTATGTAAATATAAAATTCAATTGTTTAAGCATTTAGCAGGATGCATAATTTATTAAAATGGCACACCTGACGCATGCCAGCAGGCGGCGTTGCCTAGAATATGAGTAGGGCTGGGCAGATTATAAGAGTTGGGGTTACTGCCAGGTGCCAGACGACGTTGCCAGGTTGGGGGGCGTGTATCTGAGTTCCCGGAACGGCATCTTGACGGCTATTGGCTTTTGTTGTACAGCTGCTGCTGCTGCTGCTGCTGTTGCTGCCGTATGAGGCAGACAGGCGGGCGGGCAGCCAGTCGATGTTGCAGTCAGTGACATGACAAGAATATAAACAGAAGATGACGTGGAAAGGGAGGAGATGGGTATCGGGGGTTGGGGGTTGGGGTTTATTGCAGCTGCAGCTGCAGCAAAGGGAGGGCCGGCTGCGTTTGCGAAATTGATTTTTAAACAGCAGCCATCCAGGGCGAAACTCATGTCGTTAGCAAATCATAAAAGCGTGAAAGTTTTGCTACTCATAGAAGCTGTTGTTACTGCAGCTTAATATTACACTGTGAGAAAACCAATCAGAACATATAATGAAATTAATTTTCTAAGAATACTTACAAAATAGAGTAAAATATTCAAATAGTTGAATACTTACTTTTTGTAATTAATATTCACAGATAAATAAAATATTGTACGTAAATAATTAAAGATAAATGTATATCAATCAATTTGAATCAATCCCAATTTAAGTGTAAACATTTTGTTTCTGTGCAACGATTTAATTTTGTAAATTAAAAATATCTAAAAATAAAAATTAGTCAGGATGAAATTTATATTGAGCACGGAGAGCAAAATTTTGAAAAGAAAGAAATGTAATAACAAAATCTTAATTTTTCTTAGTGTATGTAGTAGTTGCTTTGTCGTCGCATAATGAGTAAAGGGGGCTGGTGGGGCGGCATTGAGCTAGCAGCTCCCAAGTGCTCCTGACTAGCTGCAGTTGACATTAAGTAAGATGGATGGCGTTGACGTTGCGTGCAACATTTAACGCTGATCCCTTTGAGTCGCATATTGATGCCAAAAACGCCTTGCGAAGCCGAGGGGTGGCAAATTCAATTTGATGCTGGTCAAGTAAATTTTGTAGCAAGTTTTTAATGGTGCGCGTCAGCGGCTTGATGACTTGATGGCCTGCTGCTGGCTTGTCTTGGCTTCGCTTGTCAAGCTTCAGCTTGATTCCGGGATCCGCAATCTGCTGACTTGCTCTGCTAAATTAGCGTTGCAAATATGCGAGCAGGACTCGCAGGACGCACACTCGCTGTAGTCCTGCCCCAAACAGATTTTCATATTAAAGTTGCAGCCAACTTTGGCTCAACATTCTTCCCGCTGTCGCTCCCGCACTGCCTCCATCTCTTGGGGAGCGTTTTTATGCAAGATTTATTGCTATTTAAACGACGCATAATGTGTCCTGGTTGGTGATGTTGTTGCTGCTGTTGCCACAGTTGCTGTTTCTGCTATTGCTGTTGGTAGACAGACAGACACCAACACCAACACCATGACACACTTGACAACGTGCTCAAGTGGCTGGCTGCCTGAACCCCCTTTATCTCCCCCTCTCTCCACCTCGTCTCTGTCCATACATTGTGCAATATTTTATTTACATTTTTCATTCGTCGCCTGCCTTGGCATATCCTGTTGTTGAATCCTTTTTTGCCGCCCGCCTGCTGTTTGCTTTTACTGGCCCCTGCAGTCTTGTTTTTTGTTTTTTGTGTTTTGTTTATGTGCTCCCCACGTTTTTCCCTTTTCTCTTTTTGTTATTTACATTTTTGTTTCATTTTTCTAATGAGCTGTAATTTCTGTTTTTATTTACAGGCGTCATGCGTGCACAAACACCAATGAAAACAAATACAAATAATACACAACG